CTTGACCCCCCCCTCTCTGTACAACGCGGACTTTTTACCCCCCCCCCCCCACCTGCGTACGTTCGCCTGACGCACCCCCCCCCCCCCGAATCCTATAGAACGGCCGATATTTAATCCACGCAGAAACGATCAAGGATGAATAATATTAACGTGTTTAAGCAAACAGTCCACCGCCGGACTATCTAAGTTGAAGGTCAATGTAGACGAATTATTATCGAGGCTTCACCCCCCCCCCCCCCCGGTTTCCTATGCGTACGTACATTGGGGCCAAGTGGTGTTAGCGAGCACCTATTAAGGACCGCAACGGCCCACGAGGCATTGGTGTGGACAAGCGCCACGCCCGGCCGCCTTTGTCTCCCCAGTGCTGAGAGTTACACACCGCACCAGGTACTGCTCCGTTAAGGCTGAGTCAACCCTGAGGACGCTCGGCACCGGTTCAGATGTCACTGAGCCGCTGATCGTGCATTGTTCATTGTGCCCATCGACAGCTCTGATCCGAGTTTTCTGTGTGGTAGAAGTTTGCCTGTTGACGTGGATGGGTGGTGGTGACCCCGCGGCCGCCCGGATACGCACAATAATCCCACCCGCTGGGTTAAAGAAAGAAATTAGTTCGAAAACTAATTTCTTTAAAACTGCTTTTTGTGTGCGTTTCGTTTGTTGTCCTTTCCCCCGCATCTCCGATTAGCACGGTTGGCTACGTACGGCGCGAAAGAAGTTCAACACACATGCTCGCATACAAAGGCCACCTACCGGGACGGCGTTGTGTGCGTGTGTCGCCCGGGCATTTAAATCGCACCGCATGTGGCCCCTATTCACGAAGGCCGCGTCGTCAGAGAGCGCGCTTTCCATGACAGAAGGGTCATTAAAGTTGGGGGATGTTGTTGGTGGTCGAAGAGACAACGGGGGGACACCGTGCAGCAGATGCAGTTGTACCTGCCATCTACGCTAATGGAGCCCGTGTTAGATTGTGAAACTGCTTCGGAGAATGATTTCACTTATCGTACAATCTCCGAGCCATCCGTAAGAGTGCCTCCCGTTCAGAGCCGCACCCATTCCCAACGGATCGCCGTGGGCAAGGAAGGGCTTCTTCTTCTTCTTCTCCTAATAAGCAGACGGAACTCGACACGACTGATAGGGGACAATTACGCAGTGACGCATCAGCCTTACCACCACCACCATCTTTCTCACCGGCCCTATAGAGCCTGGTTCTGTGCAGTAATATTACCATCGGCTATGATTAGAGGCCGTTCCCGGCCACCCCTAACATCATTTGCGAGTGATTTAGTGATATCTGAACCGGTTTTGCAACGCCTCCCCCCAACCCCCCCTGCCCTCCCCCCGCTTCACCAACTCGCACAGACCAGCGTGGTGAAGTATGGTCAAACAACCCCCATGATAGACGCATCGTGGGTAGACTTTCATCCAGCAGTCGATTGGCAAGGAGCTGTAACACAATATTCGATTCTAGAAGCTGCCATTCATCAGCCGAAGTTATATATTTTGTTTAACACAACTTAAGCCGCATTTCTATACACAGTACGAGCAGCCCGCGTGTCCTTTTGCACGTGACTGACCGTCCCGCCAGCCAACCAGCCAGCAAAACTTTGTTCGATTATCAGTGTTAATCGTTGTCATTGGCTGCGTTAGGTGATTGGTGCCTTCGTGGGACCTGGAAAAAACATTTGAAAATAGCTGCCTCTGTTTGGGCTTCGCGGAGCTTTTAGTATCGCCACGGCGTGACAACCCCAATGCTTTGATTATATCCGTGGCGTGGATTGTGGCAATAATCAATTAGCCGACAATGGGCAGGAAGCGGCGAGTCGGAACGCACGTGCCATCACAGAAGCACGCCACACATCCGCTCGTCTTTTACAGCTCTCAATCAATCAACTTCTGGATGAAGGTCTCAGTCTTGAGCCTTTCACTCATGGGTGGGGTGTGGGGGGGCTGTTTGACCATACTTCACTTCGCTGGTCACTCCGGGTTTGCGAAAGCGGAGCCCCATGGGGAATGGAGCCGCTGTTGGTGCGCGTTAATTAGCAAATCGTCGTGAACAACCATCAAACATTCAGGTGTGTGTGTATTGGACTTCTTTCGCACCGTACTAAGCCAACCGCGCTATAGCGGAGGTGCAGGGGGGGGGGGGCAACAAACTAAGCTACCAAGAGGCAGTTCTAAATAAATTACTTTTCAATCGAGATGATTTAAACGTGCATAGCTCCCAGTGGCTTCCTAATATCGGATGCAAGAGCGTTCCAGACGGCCGCAGAAGCGCGTCTGAAAGCGCGCCGCGTGTGTGTCCCTTTGGTATTTGTTGCGTCTAAGCAGTGTCTCGACTGCGTCTGAGATCGGCTCCGACGTAGTTTAAGAGGCACGCGTCTCCCCCCCCCTCACCTCGTCCACATCATCCAGCAGCGCGTACGGAGCTCCCAACAGCAGCGAGCCGCGCCGCCGCCTTTGTGTGTTGGGCTCGCGACAGAGACGTGATTTCATCCGGAAACCACCTCGGCATGATTTTTTTTTCTACACAAGTTGCTCTTTCCCCCCCCCACTCCACTCCACCCCCCATATTGCTCACCGCTCGCTAGACGTCGCGTCTGTACGAGGGGGCAGGGAAATTGAGGATGGAACGGGGCCAGGGGAGTGGGGGGGTTGGGGGGGTGGTGGTGGTGGTTGGGGTGGTGGTTGTTTGGGGGGTGGTTGGGGGTGGTGGTGGTGGTTGTTTGGGAGGTGGTGGTGGTTGGGGGGTGGTGGTGGTTTTGGGGGTGGTGGTGGTTTGGGGGGTGGTGGTGATTTGGGGGGTGGTGGTGGTGGTTGGGGTTGGTGGTGGTGGTGGTTGGGGGGTGATGGTGGTGGTTGGGGGGTGGTGGTGGTAGTTGGGGGGTGGTGGTGATTTGGGGGGTGGTGGTGGTGGTTTGGGGGGTGGTGGTGGTGGTTTGGGGGGTGGTGGTGGTGGTGGTTGGGGGGTGGTGGTGGTGGTTGGGGGGTGGTGGTGGTGGTTGGGGGGTGGTGGTGGTGGTTTGGGGGGTAGTGGTGGTGGTTGGGGGGGTGGTGGTGGTGGTTTGGGGGTGGTGGTGGTGGTTGGGGGGTGGTGGTGGTTGGGGGGTGGTGGTGGTGGTTTGGGGGGTGGTGGTGGTTTGGGGGGTGGTGGTGGTTGGGGGGGTGGTGGTGGTGGTTTGGGGGTGGTGGTGGTGGTGGTGGTTGGGGGGTGGTGATGGTTGGGGGGTGGTGGTGGTTTGGGGGGGGGGTGGTGGTGGTTGGTGGTTTGGGGGGGGTGGTGGTGGTGGTGGTTTGGGGGGTGGTGGTGATTTGGGGGGTGGTGGTGGTGGTGGTTGGGGTTGGTGGTGGTGGTGGTTGGGGGGTGGTGGTGGTGGTTGGGGGGTGGTGGTGGTTGGGGGAGCGATTTTTTTTCGCTGAGCTCCGAGTCTGGAGTGGATACGACGCTGTTTGGGGGAAGGGGGCTCTGGAAGCGAAAGGGTAAATTGGGGTATTTGGTGGTGGGGCGGCGGTGAGTAGTGAATGGGGGTGGGTGAGTAGGGGGTGGGTGAGTAGGGGGGGGGTGGGTGAGTAGGGGGGGGTGGGTGAGTAGGGGGTGTGGATGTGTAGGGGGTGGGTGAGTAGCGGGTGGGTGAGTAGCGGGTGGGTGAGTAGGGGGTGGGTGAGTAGCGGGTGGGTGAGTAGAGGGGGTGGGTGAGTAGCGGGTGGGTGAGTAGGGGGTGGGTGAGTAGGGGGTGGGTGAGTAGGGGGTGGGTGAGTAGGGGGGGTGGGTGAGTAGAGGGGGTGGGTGAGTAGGGGGTGGGTGAGTAGGGGGGGTGGATGTGTAGGGGGTGGGTGAGTAGGGGGGGTGGATGTGTAGGGGGTGGGTGAGTAGAGGTGGTGGGTGAGTAGAGGGGGTGGGTGAGTAGGGGTGGGTGAGTAGGGGGGGTGGATGTGTAGGGGGTGGGTGAGTAGGGGGGGTGGGTGAGTAGAGGGGGTGGGTGAGTAGGGGGTGGGTGAGTAGGGGGGGGGGATGTGTAGGGGGTGGGTGAGTAGGGGGGGTGGATGTGTAGGGGGTGGGTGAGTAGAGGTGGTGGGTGAGTAGAGGGGGTGGGTGAGTAGGGGGTGGGTGAGTAGGTGGGGTGGATGTGTAGGGGGTGGTGAGTAGGGGGGGTGGGTGAGTAGGGGGTGGGTGAGTAGGGGGGGTGGGTGAGTAGAGGGGGTGGGTGAGTAGGGGGTGGTGAGTAGGGGGGTGGATGTGTAGGGGGTGGGTGAGTAGGGGGGGTGGGTGAGTAGGGGGTGGTGAGTAGAGGGGGTGGGGTGAGTAGGGGTGGGTGAGTAGGGGGGTGGATGTGTAGGGGGTGGGTGAGTAGGGGGGGTGGATGTGTAGGGGGTGGGTGAGTAGAGGTGGTGGGTGAGTAGAGGGGGTGGGTGAGTAGGGGGTGGGTGAGTAGGGGGGGTGGATGTGTAGGGGGTGGGTGAGTAGGGGGGGTGGGTGAGTAGAGGGGGTGGGTGAGTAGGGGGTGGGTGAGTAGGGGGGGTGGATGTGTAGGGGGTGGGTGAGTAGGGGGGGTGGATGTGTAGGGGGTGGGTGAGTAGAGGTGGTGGGTGAGTAGAGGGGGTGGGTGAGTAGGGGGTGGGTGAGTAGGTGGGGTGGATGTGTAGGGGGTGGGTGAGTAGGGGGGGTGGGTGAGTAGGGGGTGGGTGAGTAGGGGGGGTGGGTGAGTAGAGGGGGTGGGTGAGTAGGGGGTGGGTGAGTAGGGGGGGGGGTGGGAGTTGGTAGGATTGGTGGTTGTGGAGCAGAGAGCGGACGAGCAGGAGGAGGTTGCTGGTGGTTGTGGAGGTGGTTGGTGGTGGCCGTGGTGGAGGAGGAGTAGAAGGTTGTGGAGGAGGAGTAGAAGGTTGTGTAGTAGGAGGAGTAATAAGGTTGTGGAGGAGGAGGCCCCTATATAACCACCGAGGCTCGCAGCCCGCCACCCGAGCGCTCTACGCAGTCACCGGCAGCAGCAGCGACCCCCCCCCCCCCGCGTTCGTCCGCCCCCCCCCCCCCAAGTCTTCCGCTATTACACAGCGGTCGTGGCAAAACGTAAGTGCGAAGAAAGACGGCAACCACCACCACCCCCCTTCTCGCCATCTCTCCCCATGTAATTTACGGCGCATTCTTGCGGCGCTCCGTGGACAAGAGGGGGGGGGGGGGTCCGTCTGTGCGGCGCGCACCACATGGCGCTTGTGGCGGCGGCGTCTTGGTGATGGGAGAGAGAGATAGTGAAGTTTGGTGCGAGTGAGCGACAGATGTTTGTGATGGATTCGCTGTCGAGGACGCCGGCGGTGGCACCGACGTCGCTTCCTTCGTAACTTGCGCTCAGCGCGGTTGGGCTCCGTGCGGGTGCAATAGAAGTACAACGCACATCGACACATTCCACGGTAACGCGGCGGTGTCTGTGACCACCACCCCCGTCCTCCTGCCTCCCTCCCTCCCTCCCTCTCCGCCTTTCAGAGCCGAGAGGCGGCGTGGGGTGGGGATCCCTCGACAAGGACGACTCCCGCGGTGGCTGTCGACTCGCCACGAGGGAGGACGAGCATCTTCTTCTAAGTTCGAGTCACCCACCCACGGAGGGGCATGGCAGCTCGCGGCGCGCCGATGGCGCTGCTCGCTCTGCTGCTGCTGCTGGTGGCCCGCGGGCTCCGGGCAGAGCCCCCCCCTCCACCGCCACATCAGCCGCAGGAGCAGCAACCGGGGGGGGGCTCCTCCACCCCCGTGCATAGCGGACCCTCCCTGGCGCAAGGTGAGAGAGCCTGTCCTGCCCTGTTGCTGCCTTATCATGCCATGCCACAATACCCCGTTCACTGCCCTTACATGCCTTGCCCTGCCTTGCCTTGCCCTGCCTTGTCCTGCTGCTGCTGCCCTGCCTTGCCCTGCCATGCCCTGCCATGCCCTGCTGCCCTGCCTTGCCCTGCCCTGCCTTGCCCTGCCCTGCCATGCCCCTGCACCGTAGCCCGAGTCGGCGCTGTGGCTCCCAGCTCGGCAAAAGTGGTGCCGCTAAGATCTACTTCTTTAGGCGCTACTTCTTTTTTCTGTTTTTGTTTTCCCGGCCGTCAATTTTATTTTGTCAAAATCGACTTTCGGGTGACGGAAGGCATACAAATACGAGACTTGTGATATGTATTTACCAGCGGTACGCTTCGTGTGTGCAGCGCTAAGTATCCCTTGTTTATCTGTTTTACCGTGCGTGGGTCCGTGTGGGGGAGCGGTGGTGCAGCGGTTAGCGCGCTGCGCTACGAACCCGAGTTCCATCCCCGCTCACGGCCAAACAACAGATAACAGTGATTAATATCTGAATCAGTCATGGTCCCCCTCTAGGTCGACTCGGCCTTTGTTCTCTGTGTTTTTGTTTCAAGTTATTTGTTTAACTTTAATTGTTCTGTACTTTGGGCCGCTATTGTGTTTATTGTATTGTAACTTTCTGACCTGCCCTTTGCTGGACATTTGTGAAACGGAGCATGAGAGCTCATCGTATTCCTCCAACAATAAATATTCTGATGTCTAAAATGAGAACCCGGTGTGGTGTGTAATCAACGCCACTAGGGAGACAAAGGCGGCCGGGCGTGGTGCTCCCCCCCCTCCCCTTCTTGTGCCGTCTTTATCGGTGCTGCTAGTCACTACTTTTTGGCAGCTCCCAACAAAGTTTCCATGACCTTATCGACCCCCCAACACCAGTTTCCTCTTATTTGTGTTGCCGGTAATTGTTTCGTTTGCCGTGTTTGGCTTTAAATCGTTTGTTACCACTTTGTTTTATTTGTGTATTTTAATTAATCGGAATTCAGTCGGGTTCCTAAGTTGGTGTCGGCGTTAATGCGTTGTGTTCTTGTTATCCACGAGATAAGTAGGAGTTTTGAGTTGTTACAAATCATCACTCGATCGCGTCCCCCCGGTCACAGACGTTCCGTGCTTGTGGGCCCCCATGAAGGTTCTTGGGGGGCCCCATGAAGGTTCTTGGAGGCACCTTGGGCAACTTCTGTTTCGTTCGGCTTTCGGTGATGACTTTATGCGGTCGGTCACTGCCTGTTGCCCCCCAAATGCGAATGACTAACTTACCGCCGCTGTCGCAAGCTAAAGCTGAGAGAGAAGCACCGACTCCGATCAACCATAGGGCAACAACGCCGCTTTGTCTTCTCTCGAGAATGAGGTTGTGTGTGGGGCGGGAACACCGTTTGAAGATGGAATTTGGTAAATTTGCTATGAAAAACAATATCGGAAAGTTCCTCTCCGGTGTTAATTTCTCTGGCCTTGTGCAAAAAAAAACCGATTGACACTGTCATGTCTGCCTCTTTGTATATCCACCGTGCTTATCCTTGCTATAGAAATATTTTTGTTCCTTTTCATTAAACAAACAAAAAACACATGGGTCAATTTTTTAGTATGCCTATTGGATCATTCGGCCCTCCTGGAGCCGCATGCAGTGGCTCTTTAAGGACTTCTGTGCTTCGTAACGTTATTTATAAAGGACTACCAGCGTCTCGTGTTCACATTGCATTGCAGTACTTGATATCTTGAGGGTTTTTTTTACCGAATTCGAAAAAAATGCCTCTTGTTTTTGGTTGCCGACCCCTGACTCCGATAATAGTAAATAACTTTTCCCACCAACATCTGGTTCACGTTAATTAACTGCTTCTGTGGCCATGGCAACGACTTCTGAACGACTCCTTCATGGACCCAACAATCACCAACGTGGCATCAACGCCACCCTCGTAATTAACGTCGTCATTACTCCTCCATCATCATCACATCATCATAGCCACCATCCGATTGGCGCGGTTGGCTTTGTACGGTGCGAAAGAAGTTCACCATACAGACGTGCCATCATTCAAATGATACTATCCTGGTCACTTGATTTCTTTCACCTTGTTAAACGAAATAAGCGTGCAACCTGAACTGCTACGGGCATAAACTATTTAAAAGATTTAAACTATTTTTTATTTTACCAGATAAGGTCCACTGAACTATAGATCTCTTTTTCAGAAGCGACCTGCCCACATGATAGCTCAACGAAGTGGCTCATGTAGAAATTTATAGCAGCCAAATACTCTAAACGCATGTTGATTCTAAAATGCAAACTCCAAATATACAGCAGCAGGCGTCAGGGTCGGGATCAAACTGACGACCTCCTGCATACCAGGCGAGGTAGCTGACATCTCGCTACCGTGGTATAGTGGGAGACTTTTTTTATACAGACGATTTGCACATTTTACACACGCTATCTGTCCCTCGCCGAGTTGCATGACAGAGATAAATGATGTTGATGCTGCTTCGTTGGCAGTGGTGCACAAGCACAATAAACAAAGCTTAACACATTCGGCATAGCCAAGGGTCTGCAACCAAAATAACAAGAGACATCTGTTTTCGAATTCGGTAAACAAAAAAACTTCTGTTTTAAGAGCTGCAATGCATGTTGATTACATACCTGTCAACCCATTATCAGTGCCTACCTTATTACAGACCAATTCAGACCTTGTTGGTCACCCCGTGCCCTTATAAATCTCAGCGTTCATCCTTCAAAGTCCCATCACAAGGGAGAAACACAAACAAATAGCCAAAACATTTTTTTGCTTGTATTGAGACGGCTTTACGATGTATGGACCTGAACTTATTTCCCTGTAGAAGAATACGGGTAAACCGTATGGGTTGACAGTTATGTGGTGGTCCATATAATAAATAAGCAGTGCTCCGGAGCGGCAGGTTGCTGACCCCTGGTCACAGCACAACATGAAGGCGGTGTTATTGAAGAAGGGCTATTACCCAAAACGTCACATGTTTTATATATATACAGATGTATGGTCTTTATTAATGATTGTGGGCTTTTTATTTTTATATGAATCAGATGTGCTTATTTTTGTGTCTAGACTTGTAAGTTCTATGTACATATTTGTCAATTTTGGATTCGTGAATGTCACTGTTTGTATGTGATTCGTGTATAGTTCTGTAGTGTGCGATACTTTGTAAGAATGGTTTATCGAGTAGTAAAAAAAAATGCACTTTCAAGTACCTTTGAAAGTACTGTTCTACGGCGTACAAGGTAGACATTGTAAGTTGCGATGATGCGGCCAATTGTCACGGAACTTGTGTGCAAGGGTGGGTGCTGCAGTCTGACGCTCTTGTGGAAGAATAATAATGGAGACGGGACGGATTGTGGGCTTGTGTTGCGCATTGACGCAACGCTGAAACGTTACTTTCTTTTTAGACCAGCGAATTTAATGCATGTATTACATTGAACGTTTTTCCCACCGTACGTAGCTAACCGTGCTAATCAGAGGTGCAGGGGAAGGGACAACAAACTAAACTCAAAACGCACTGGGTTGACTGGGAGTTGCTAGCTACCCCAAATTAAGCCTGGTTAGTACTTGGATGGGTGATCGCCAAGGCTTGTCAGAAGTTGTAGGTGTGGAGCGGATGGGGTTGGGGCAGGGGTCGGCGACCTGCGGCTCCGGAGCCGCATGCGGTGGCTCTTTCAGAACTGGCTTCGTGACGTTAGTTATCAAGGACCGCCGTCTCGTATTGACATGCATTAAAACGTGTCTCTTGTTATTTTGGTTTCTGACCCCCTGGGCAGGCTTAGACAGCTGTGTTGAGTGGTAACCCCCTTTGTTTGTGTGTGGGTATCACCCCGGATACACCAGTTTACTGCAACATGCCACACACGCACTCAATTATATTGGTCCAAACATGATGATATGGGACCCTTCTTGAAAGCCTTGAAAATCACCCAAGGCTTATCTTGGGCACATTCTGTTTCGATCGTTAGGTTTTGCGCAATGGTTATGATTTTAGTAGATGGAAACTTTCTTCCACGAATAAAAAAAACTCTTATTAAAGTATGAAAAATAAGAATAGGCTGTATTTACCCTTTATGGTAATAAAACAGGAGGTGTTAAGATGTTCAAACGCCAAATAGACACCTTTTGCAAGGAATCAAGTCAGCATTAACCACACGTACTTGTGGAAAACATGCAAACAACCATGCTCTGATAATATATGCATTCTTTGAAAATGATTGGCCTACACTACAGACAGGGTTATTTATGGCTTAGTCTCACCAGTGGTTAATGCAGACTTGATTCCTTGATAAAGGTATATCTATTTGATGTTTGAACATCCTAACACCTATTCTTAACATAACTCAATTTGCAAAAAACAACTTGATGTAGGCTATTAATACATTGTTTATAATCATTACATGTGAATGTAAAAACAAATAGTACTGCATGGTATCATATTACTATTTTGTACATTAATATAGTGCAGTAAAGTTAGGTTTACTTGTTTAGGTTGCAAATAAATAAATGCCTCTAAATTGGACAGTTTTTGCAGATCTACATTAGTAATCCGTCGGGATATTTTAGGCGCTCTAAATGGCAGAGGTGTAGTAACATACACAAATTATTAACTGGGTCATTCTACATTTAAACGGTCGACGATGTCTATCCAGCAACATTTGATATCAGAGTAAAATAGAGCTCCGATTTTGGCCTTGCCTGAGCTGACCGAGACAACTTAATGTGAACCTTCCAGTTCTGGTAGTGGATGTCAAGGCTCGATTTCTTCCATTTCGTCTCAAGCCTATTTTGCTCAGGCAGTGTGGGAAGTGTGCCTTTGGGCTGGGGAGGGTTAATAAGAGGTACACCGTCCTCGGAGGGGCAAGATATTTCACAATGGTAATTATTAGTCATTGTTATAATAATAGTCCCGAGAATGGGTAGGTAGTAAGTGCTCTCTTGAGGCTGCCCGATT